GATGACAATAAGGAGAACTGTATTGTTTACATACAGTTCTCCTCCCCATCGGAGATGCTTGTGAATCAGCGGGTGCTGACGAGTAATCACCGTCCAGGACCCGATGATTGACAGCCAAGGCCCCGAATGACGGCGTGGGTAGGGTGTGCGCCCCCGTGCCACCCTGTAGCAGGCGGTTGCCATTTTATCAAGTGTGTAGTCAACATGACAACCAGTTGTTCTGGCCACTCAAACAGTACATGACTAACTGCTGTGGCTTTGGGCAAGAGAGTGGGGAGGAAGTAGAACAGCTAGACAGTTTGGCTTTTGGCTGTTGTCTGTGCCACCTGTGGATTTATGCAGAAAAAAGAACCTGTGCTATGTATCTGTTTTTATTTGTCTTTCAGCTGATTAACATCTGGGGTAGAAAGCATGGCATGGACCCTGGGAAGCCTGTTGTCATTAGCTGTCTGATGTCACAGGTGGGTTTTGAAAAGTGATCTTAACAATTGTTCCAAAAGAAAATAATAAACATGTAAGACTTACCTGCTCTGCACAGTAGTTTTCCACAGAGCAGCCCAGATCCTTCATTTTGTTGCTCCCCCGCCAGAATTACTTGGCCCCTCTCTCATGTCCATTGCCCCCAGAACAAGCACCTTGTTCTGGTGTGAGCGCAAGAAGACTTACTCATGAGCCACTGATCCCAGAGAGCAGAGCTTTTTAAGCCCCTCAGGGAATCAAGATGGGGCTCAAGCAGGGGGGGGGGGGGTGGACTGACAACTCATGGGGCCCCCAGGCGATAAGAGATAATGGAGCCCCCTGTGTCTCCACCTACAATCAAAGCCACACCCACACAACACCCTTGTACATATTGCAGCTAAGGTCATTAAAATAATTTTAAAAATAATAATAAAAAAAAAAACAATGTGGGGTCCCCCTCCATTCATACCAAGTTCTTCGGGTCTGGTATGGGTTTTGAGGGGAACCCCCATGCCAAAATTTTAAAAAAATGGTGTGGGGTCCCCCCCCCAAGATCCATACCAGACCCTTATCAGAGCATGCGGTCAGGAAAGGGGGGGGGCAAGTGAGGGCCCCCCTCCTTAACCATACCAGGCCACATGCCCTTCAGATTGGAGGGTGCTTTGAGGGTTCCCCTCCAAAGCACCTTGTTCCCATGTAGATGGGGACAAGGACCTCTTCCCCACAACCCTGGCCTGTGGTTGTGGGGGTCTGCGGGCAGGGGGCTTATCAGAATCTGGAAGCCCCCTTTAGAAAGGGGGCCCCCAGATCCCAGCCTCCCCCATGTGAATGAGCATGGGGTACATGGTAACGCTACCCATTCACAAAAAAAAAGTGTAGTGTGAAAAAAAAAAGACAGGAAACAGTCTTTGACAAGTACCATGCACCCCATACTCACTCACATGGGGGGCCCCTTTGCTAAATAGGGCTTCCAGATTCCGAAAAGCCCCCCCACCGCAGACCCCCTCAACCAGTGGCCAGAATTGTGGGGAAGAGGCCTTTGTCCCATCAACATGGGGACAAGGTGCTTTGGGGAGGGGAGCCCCCTGCCCCAAAGCACCAACCCCCCATGTTGAGGGCATGTGGCTTGGTATGGTTCAGGGAGGGAGGGCACTCACTCCCCCCCCCCCCTTTCCCGACCTGCATGCTCGGATAAGGGTCTGGTATGGATTTTAGGAGGGACCCCCCCGCGCCATTTTTTTTACATTTTGGCATGAGAGTTCCCCTCAAAATCCACACCAGACACAAAGGGCTTGGTATGGATGGTGGGGGGGACCCCACGCCGACTTTTTTAATTATTTTTTTAATTGCCGGCAATTCTTTTACATTCAGCTGTCAGTGGGGAACCCTGCTGACAGCTGAAACATTAACGCATGGATTTCACTACTAAAATACCGCATGACGTGATAAAATAACTCAAATTCAAACTTTTTTTAAAAAAAATTATATGCAGTATCCTACCGCATAATCGAATGCGTAAGATACCGCTTAGTGAATTGTGCCCAGTGAGCCTCTCACCAGGCCCACTACTGATCCCAGGCCCTCGGTCAGTGCCTGAATGGTCAGTCCATCCCTGGGATCAAGTAAGCACTAGTGTGCCTGTAATTGCTCCCAAAAATGTTTACTTAAACTCCTGAAATGGTAAAGAATGAAAAATACACTCTAGCTATCCTGCACTGAGAAGTGATTGTCATGATAAAATGTCAATGATTCTTTGCTCTCATTTTACAGGAGTGGTCCTGCTTGTGGTTCAAGCTGGGAGAAAGCCACCTTCATGTCCTTCACTCTCCTTCATTTGTGGACAGTGGATATTTTGTAGCACCAGGCAAGAACTGGCATCAAGGACCTGCATAAACACCCTAGCATGCCAGAAGTGGTTTGGAAGCAGCACAGCAACTTGTCCATCCCTTTCCTCTATGCTACTTTTGGGGGTGTATAATTGCTTCTCGTTCCTGAATGAACTTGCAACGCATATTGGAGTCCCCATATCTTCCAGGTGTGGTTGAGCCATGTCCTGGTTTTGGTTTTCCAAAAAATTGAGAGCTTGCAGGCATGTGTTCACATCAGGCCATGTATTTGCCTTTTTGTGTTGAATAAAGACTATTTTGGTTCCTAAAAAAAGTGTCATGTCCTCTTGATTCTATTTCCTAGACTTAAGTTGGCCAGAGATAATATGCAATCTGATTGATGAAAAGTCAGTGCAATTTCCTCCACATGTAGCTAAAGTCTGTAACAGGAGGACCTAATGAACAATGCATTCATTTAGAATGGTCCAGGCCCATACAGTACATAATTGAGGTTTGCTATGAAGGAACATTCACCTTTGGATACCAGAGCTCACGTGGTTTGAGTAACAATATTTCTGGCCATTGCAACGTATGCAGCTAATGGACTAATGCAGCTCAACATAGATCAGGTATAAACAAAAGTGTACCTTGTCCATAAAATAGCAACTGGGAGGTCCTATCTGGGACACAGTTCTTGCCCATGCATAATTGAGTACCATATTTTCCGGCGTATAAGACGACTGGGCGTATAAGACGACCCCCTACTTTTCCTGTTAAAATATAGGGTTTGAGCTATACTCGCCGTATAAGACTACCCCTCTTCCAACGCACACCAAATAAAAATGAAAAAACATCAGATTTGATTTCAATATGGTATGCTATTTCAGTATGGTATTCCAATGATGGGGTGCTATTCCTCCCACTGACACCAATGATGAGGCACTACTCCTCCCACTGACACCAATGATGGGGCACTATTTCATCCACTGACAGCAATGATGGGGCACTATTCCTCCCACTGATACCAATGATAGGACACTATTCCTCCCACTGACACCAATGATGGTGCCCCATCATTAGTGTCAGTGTGTGAGGAATAGTGCCCCATCATTAGTCAGTGGGAGGAATAGTGCCCCATCATTAGTCAGTGGGAGGAATAGTGCCCCATCATTAGTCAGTGGGAGGAATAGTGCCCCATCATTAGTCAGTGGGAGGAATAGTGCCCCATCATTGGTGTCAGTGGGAAGAATCGTGCCCCATCATTGGTGTCAGTGGGAGGAATAGTGTCCCATGATTGGTGTCAGTGGGAGGAATAGTGTCCCATGATTGGTGTCAGTGGGAGGAATAGTGGCCCATCATTGGTATCAGTGGGAGGAATAGCACCCCATCATTGGTGTCAGTGGAAGGAATAGCGCCCCATCATTGGTATCAGTGGCAGGAATTGCGCCCCATCATTGGTGTCAGTGGGAGGAATAGCGTCCCATCAATGGTGTCAGTGGGAGGAATAGCGCCCCATCATTGGTGTCAGTGGGAGGAATTGCACCCCATCATTGGTGTCAGTGGCAGGAATTGCGCCCCATCATTGGTGTCAGTGGGAGGAATTGAGCCCCATCATTGGTGTCAGTGGGAGGAATTGCGTCCCATCATTGGTATCAGTGGGGAGAATAGTGCCCCATCATTGGTGTCAGTGGGGAGAATAGTGCCCCATCGTTGGTGTCAGTGGGGAGGAGGAACAGTGCCCCATCGTTAGTGTCAGTGGGGGAGGAACAGTGCCTCATCGTTGGTGTCAGTGGGGGAGGAACAGTGCCTCATCGTTGGTGTCAGTGTGGAGGAGGAATAGTGCCCCATCGTTAGTGTCAGTGGGGGAGAGGAGCGGCTGCTCCTTCTTCCAGTGCGGCCGTTCGATTTGATTTCAATATGGTATGCTATTTCAGTATGGTATTCCAATGATGGGGTGCTATTCCTCCCACTGACACCAATGATGAGGCACTACTCCTCCCACTGACACCAATGATGGGGCACTATTTCATCCACTGACAGCAATGATGGGGCACTATTCCTCCCACTGATACCAATGATAGGACACTATTCCTCCCACTGACACCAATGATGGTGCCCCATCATTAGTGTCAGTGTGTGAGGAATAGTGCCCCATCATTAGTCAGTGGGAGGAATAGTGCCCCATCATTAGTCAGTGGGAGGAATAGTGCCCCATCATTAGTCAGTGGGAGGAATAGTGCCCCATCATTAGTCAGTGGGAGGAATAGTGCCCCATCATTGGTGTCAGTGGGAAGAATCGTGCCCCATCATTGGTGTCAGTGGGAGGAATAGTGTCCCATGATTGGTGTCAGTGGGAGGAATAGTGTCCCATGATTGGTGTCAGTGGGAGGAATAGTGGCCCATCATTGGTATCAGTGGGAGGAATAGCACCCCATCATTGGTGTCAGTGGAAGGAATAGCGCCCCATCATTGGTATCAGTGGCAGGAATTGCGCCCCATCATTGGTGTCAGTGGGAGGAATAGCGTCCCATCAATGGTGTCAGTGGGAGGAATAGCGCCCCATCATTGGTGTCAGTGGCAGGAATTGCACCCCATCATTGGTGTCAGTGGCAGGAATTGCGCCCCATCATTGGTGTCAGTGGGAGGAATTGCGTCCCATCATTGGTATCAGTGGGGAGAATAGTGCCCCATCATTGGTGTCAGTGGGGAGAATAGTGCCCCATCGTTGGTGTCAGTGGGGAGGAGGAACAGTGCCCCATCGTTAGTGTCAGTGGGGGAGGAACAGTGCCTCATCGTTGGTGTCAGTGGGGGAGGAACAGTGCCTCATCGTTGGTGTCAGTGTGGAGGAGGAATAGTGCCCCATCGTTAGTGTCAGTGGGGGAGAGGAGCGGCTGCTCCTTCTTCCAGTGCGGCCGTTCGATTTTCGCGGGGCCGCTCGGCTCCGCCTCTTCGCCGGTGATTGGCCGCCTGTGTGCCTTTCCAGGCTGGCGCCCAATCACCGGTGACGAGGCGGAGCCGAGCGGCCGCGTGACCATCGAGCGGGCCGAACTGAAAGAAGGATCCGCGCTTCCTGGACCGGATCGTCATGGGACCGAAGCCAGGTAAGGTACAGCAGCCCCTCTGCCCACCCCTGTACTTGGTGTCCATTTGAGGAGGAGGGGGGAAAAAGTGCCGCCGCCCTGACACCGGCTCGCACCGGCGTATAAGACGACCCCCGACTTTTCAGAAGATTTTCAGGGGTTGAAAAGTCGTCTTATACGGCGGAAAATACGGTACATTCTGGCAAATGAGAATTCAGGATGCTTTATAATACTAAGGGGTTAGTTCATGCTTGCTTCAGGGGAAACATTACTAATAATTGTTGTATTTTCAGGAGAAAACATGTCCAATTCCTAAATATATTGAGGTACATAGCAGAGGTTCAAGGTATTCCATAGAATAAGTTATTCTTTTGAACTATACAGGTGGCACAGACACAAGCATACAGTCAGCTCTTCTACTCCCTCTCCACTTTCTAGTCAGTAGCCAAAATCTTAATTGATTGATCAATATTCCTGGTACTGACAGAGCCCAGGAAATTGACCTCCATATTTTGGGCCTTCACAATAGTCTGTAACATCAGGGAGCTTACAATCTAAGGCCACAAATTCATACATATATTAGGCCCAATTAACCTAACATCATATCTTCGGAGTGTTGGCAGAAACACACCTGAACAGAGAAAGCATGCAAACTCCAGACAGGTGTTGCTATGACTGGAATTAGAAACCATGACCCAAGTGCTGCAAGCCATGAGTGCTAACCACTAAGCCACTGCAACAGATAGAGCTTGACCTGGAATGTACAATAGTAACATGTTTAAAGAGAATTAAGATATATCATTAGATTGAGAAATTAGAACTAGACATTCAAATTATTTTGGATATAGGTTTGAAAATTTGACATCCCAAAATAGTATGTATGACTTTGCAACATTTATTAGGAAATGCATTAGTTGGGTGATCATTTTTGGAGAGAAAAAAGGGCAGAAGAAAATTAATAGAGGCATCAATAATAGCAGTGCACACATATGAAATATAAGAAGCCATTAAAACAAGCAAACTTGCAAATTCTCTAATCCGTCATACAAATAAACACGAATGGGACAATGCCCATGCTTGTGCGCCACCTAGCACCATATCCGGCATTGCTCCTACAATCGCATCTACTCTTAGATTTACAAAGAGAATACAGTCTATCCATAGACATGTTTCTGTTGTACACTGAAAGGTCTTAATTTATTTAATTGGGTGCGGCTGAATGTTCAGAGTCTGCTGTTATTCTTAGTAAATCAGGGCCTATGAGTCATCAAAAAGGACACATGCTGTGTCTTCAATCCTTTCAGCAAAGCTGAACTAAATTATTCTAATTGGTGTGGGTGTAAAATCTGGAGCGTAGGAAAATAGGTAACTCCATATGAATTTGTGTTGTATATAGCACATAAAACAATCTTTTCAGACGGTAGATTTATCAAAAAAAAGACTGTATAAAAATAGTGTTTCACAAACAGCCATCATAAAGATGATTGTACTATCGGAATACACTGTGTATGGCTTTAGATCTACCAAAACAATGTAAATGGACAAACCCAAGGAATGCATTATTCAAAATGGATCTAAAATGAAAATGTACAATCATACTGTACTAACATACTGTATAACTAAAGGCAAAATGTTTTTCTTAGTTTTGGATAGAGTGGAGAGGGATTAGAGCACCTGTCAGGTTTTTTATTGCTGTTTGTGTCCCCGTTATGGAGATTCATCCTCTCTGTTTGTGCTGTTTACCATTATCACTGAAATTAAAAGAAAATCCCAAATTTTGGGTTGTCACCAGAACAGGAATAGAGAGGAAATCTTCCTATTGGGTCACTAAGTCATCTAGTAACCACCAGAAGTTTCCCTCAGTTTGCAGGGATTTCCTCTCAGTTCCTGTTTGCCTATGGGACGGGAAGTCAAAGGGAAATCTCCCCAATGAGATACAGATGGCAAAAAAAACAGACAGGGGTTATAACCCTCCCTTACTCTATCCAAAATGGGAAAATAAGTTTTAGTTCTATGTTGTAGTGATTGGGGTTACATCTACTTTAAAACAGATGACCCCCAGTTGTTGAGGAACTAAACGTCCCAGTAGTACCCTAATCTAGCTGATAACAGCAATATTGGGTGGGAAGCTCATATCCGTGGTACCACCAGATGTCTGCTGATCATTGGTATCACCAGTTATAAAATCTTTGATCCCTGTTGTTCTCCCTGTGAGAAGTGATAGTGCCTCTGACTTTCCTCTCTTCTGTTGCCCCCCACCCTATCCACTGGCGTACACATGTAGACTAGGCAGAGCTAATTTTGCACAGGAGCCTGTTACAGCCACTAGGGAGAGATTTGCAAGAAGGGATCATGGAAGACAGAGGTAACATCACGGACCTGCACAGCCTACTGTCAGCTGCTAGGCCCCCCATCCGTATCTGTGTAACAGCTTACAGTCTAAAAAGTCTATAAAGGAAGTTCAGGGTGGCATGGCAGCTATGCACTTCCAGGGGAACCCAGCTCCACCTAGCCCCTCTTCTCTGTCCCAATCAGTGGCCAGGGTTGTAAACAACCAATAGAAGAGCACTGCTTACAGTACTGCCGCAGTCTGATAGCATTTAAGATGAAAAGAGAGCGGCAATTGGACAACCACCTAGACAGGGGTGGACTGGTGTAGAGAATAGAATGGGAATGGCGGTTGGGCACAGCGGTGTTTGGGATGTTTCTGTGCTCCTGCTACACTCTCTCTTCTCAGCCCGGGCTCTCATCACCCTCCTGCAAGACCCCGTTTTTAGCCACAGTCTGGTCTGAATATGGTGTTTGTGATTGGCCTGGATGTAGCCTGGGACAAGGCCATGTCGGGACACAGTTTTTTAAAATCCGTGACTGTCCTGGGTAAATCAGGACAGTTGGCAACTATGGTAAGAGAACACCATCAGTAATAGCACACGAGCAGTAACAGCTCATCATCAATAATACAGTGGCTATGGAAAAGAATCCCCCCCTGCTTTAAAGTAATCCCATTTTGTTGCTTTGAAACCTGAAATGAAGACAGACACAGTTTTTGTTTTATCCAGCTGTATTTACTCGGCTCAATTTATAACATCCAAGTTAAAAGTATAACACCAACATGTCAGAAAAAAATAAAATAAATTCAAAAACAGAATTACAGAGTTGGAAAGGGGATCACCCCCCCCCCTCCTAAAAATTACTTGAACACTCAATCAGGTGTAGCTAATCACCTCCTCAATGGCACACACAGCCATTTGACTGTTAACTGTGATCAGCTGTGGTCATTCCAGTCCCTAATATTGCAACTGAAGCAAGTAATCAATTATGACTGGCAAGGCACTGTCGCCAGGATCTCCAAGATAATGTTGTGGGCAGGCACAAGTCAGGAGATGGATAAAAAAAAGTCAAAGGTTTTATCAACACCTAGAAGCACAGTGAAGTCTATTATTAAGAAGTGGAAGGAGGTATTTGATACAACACAGACCCTCCCTGGATCAGGATATCACTCCAAACTAGATGAAAGAGCGAGGAGGAAACTGGTCAGAGAGGCTACCAAGAGGCCTACAGCAACTCTGAAGCAGTGTCAGGAATTGATGACCAAAAGTGGTCATTGTGTGCATGTCACAACAATATCACAAATCCTCTACAAATATGCCTTGCATGGAGGGACTGCAAGAAAAAAAGAAAGGCTACATGCAGTCACCACTGATTTTTGAGAAAACACATCTTGAAGATTCTGAGGCCACACGGAAAAGGTGTTCTGGTCAGATGAAACTAAAATTGAATAATTTGGCCTCGACACTAAACGATATGTCTGGCAGAAATCCAATCCAGTTCCTCATCCAAATAACACCATTCCTACAGTAAAACATGGAGATGGTAATATCCTGTTTTGGGGGTTTCTCTGTAGCAAGGGCTGGAGCACTTGTCAGGATAGAAGGGAAAATGGATGGGGCAAAATACAGTCACATTCTGGAGGAAATCTGCTACCCTCTGCCAGAAAGTTGTCAATGGGAAGAAGGTTTACCTTCTAACATGACAATAAGCTAAAGCACAAAGCGAAAATGAGCACACAGTGGTTGGAGGAGAAGAAGGTGAATGTCCTTGCATGGTTTAGTCAGAGCCCAGACTTGAACCGCATTGAAAATCTGTGGAATGACTTGAAGACTGCAGTCCACAAACTGTCACCACCAAATGTCACTGAACTTCAGCAGTTCTGCAAAGAAGAGTGGGTAAATATTGCAAAGTCTAGATGGACAAAGGTAGTAGAGAAATATCCCAGCAAACAAAAGGCTGGAATTAGGGCTCGTTCACACTAGGCTGTTTTGCCAACGCTTGCCAAACGCCCCTATAGCGTTTGGCAAGCGTTGGTCCGGTGTTTGCGGAGTGTTTTTAACGCTCGGAAAACGCTCCGCAAATGCCGCATGCGCGGTTTAGCGACGGTTGCTAGGCGTTTGCCGAGCGTTAATAACGCCCCACAAACGCCTATAATGCATTTGAGTGGTGTTACCGCTCCGCAAACGCCCCGCAACCGCGTCGCAACCGCACCGCAAACGCCGGCTGGGCGTTTGCGGAGCGGCACCATAGACGAGAATAGGAGGCTTCAAAGCCTCCTGACTCGACCAGAGGCGTCCGTTTTGCCGCGACGCGACGCAAACGCTCCTGTTAGAACAGCACCATGTGCTGTAATGTGCAGAATTGGCAGAGGCGTTTGGGAAGCGGTAAAAACGCTTCCCAAACGCCTCTCTGCCGCCTGCACACAAGGC